CCTGGGTCTCCGTTGATTTTTTTTTCTCCACCTGTTGCCGGGCACCCATGCAACCGAACCTTACAACCCGCCGGCCCCACGGTCTGATTGACGGTTGCTTGTCCAATGGAAGACCGGTACCGCGTAAGCCTCCCCCATCTGGACCAATAGGAGGCGAGGCCCCACCCTCCAGCAGGGTTGGTTGAGAGGTCTCGGAGGCCGTTGGTGCCGTTTCCTTAGCAACGGAACGGCGCATTGGTGGGGCGGATCCTCGCAAACCGTCAATCAGCTGCTTCCTGCTGTCCCATTGGCCGCCGCTTGTTGCCCCGGGACACCGGACGCCGAGGCCTGCGCGCCATTTCCAAATTGGTGAATGCAGTCTTAAAGGTACAGTCCCTGACCCAAGGTGGAGGGGCAAAGACCCCAGCCTTAGCACCTTTGTCCCCTTCCCAACCAACTACCACCCCATGGATGACTTGAATGTGGGGGAACAACCATCTGCATGCTTGTTGTATTCTCTGTTCATTCCTCCACAAAATGACACAGTCTGATGGACATCATTCAACCCACCACATCTGTGCTATCTCATGTTTGACCTGACAAATTCCCGGGAATCGATGTTCTTTTCCTGATTCGCTCACGGGACGTGGTCTTCTCACGCCAAGCTAACATTCATTAACTATTCCTCATGACCTATGAGAAATTGAGCCGCCATTGTCCATGTGCTCAGTGCCACTTGGGAGGGAGTTGCAGGATCCTGACCCAGCGACACTGAAGGAACAGCGATATATTTCCAAGTCAGGATGGTGAGTGGTTCGGAGGAGAACTTGCAGGGGGTGGTGTTCCCATGCATCTGCTGCCCTTGTCCTTCTGGGTGGAAGTGGTCGTGGGTTTGGAAGGTGCTGGCTGAGAATCTTTGGTGAATTTCTGCAGTGCATATTGTAGATGGTACACACTGCTGCTACTGAGGGTTGGTGGTGGAGGACGTGGATATTTGTGAATGTGGTACCTATCAAGCAGGGGCTGCTTTGTCCTGGAAGGTGTCGAGCCTCTTGAGTGTTCTTGGAGCTGCCCCCATCCAGGCAAGTGGAGTTATTTCAACACGCTCCTAACTTGTGCCTTGTAGGTAGTGGTCAGGCTTTGGCGAGTCAGGAGGTGAGTTACTCCTGCAGGATATCCAGCTTCTAACCTGCTCTTGTAGCCACTGTGTTAAATGGTCGATAAAGGCCAGTGTTGTTCTGGTTGACTGATACTGAACAGTAAAGTCTCTGCCTTGAGTTGAAGGTGCTTTATGAATGCACGTTGTTTATCTGGTTGTTATCACTTTTCCTCTTTTGCCAGGAACCTTCTATCGTGTTGCTGACTCTACTGCAATTAAAATGAATTTTCTCTATTTACTTAGCTAAAACTGTCGTTTTATTTTTATTTCTCTTGAGAACATCACAACCTGGCATTTAATAGTCCTAGCACAGTTGTTGCTTTAATGAATTAATGTAAATTCTACTGACTTGGTACCTCTGGAATCTTCCCCAGTCCTACAAGGTAGTGAGATTGTTAGGCTCCTCCAATTCCAGCCTCTTTGATTTGGTTTGATTAGATTGATTACTGTACTGAGGTAAAGTGCAAAGTGTTGTATTACATGTTTTACTGGCAGATTATGCCATACAAATGCATCAGGGTAATATAACAGAGTGCAGGATACACTGTTACAGCTGCCTGGAAGGTGCAGAGAGAGAGATCAACATTAACATTGTAGAAATCCACTCAAAAGTCTGATAACAGCATGGTAGAAACGATTCTTGAATCTGTTTATAGGTGAATTCAAACTTTTCTATCTTCTGCCTGACAGAAGCGGGTGAAGAGAGTGTAACTGAACTGGGAGAGGTCTTTGATTATGTAGGATACCTTCCTTACTTTACTTACTAACCATGCCTCCTAAATTCTCTTCATACACCCAAGATATTGCTTGATTGACAGTTCCAGCTGCTTGACCTCCTCTATCGATTTCACGTTGTTTATTTACACAATTTATATAAATGATTTCAATGAGAATACAGAAACATAGAAGAAAGGAGCAGGAGGAGACCATTCGTCCCTTCGAGCCTGCTCCGCCATTCTTCACGATCATGGCTGATCGGCCAACTCAATAACCTAATCCTGCTTTCTCCCCATAATCCATAAAGTGGTTTCTCATTCACGACAGCTGGATATTTTCCTGCATCTTTTGAGGCACATATTGAACATTAATAGACACGGACCAGTTGGATTGAATAGCCTGTTTCAGTTGCTGTAAGTTTTATTAACAACGTGCATTTCACTTGATTGTGAATTGAATTTAAACGTTTGTAATGGCTCAGTGGTTAGCACTGCTGCATCACAGTGCTATGGACCCAGACTCGACTCCACCCTCAGGCAGCTGTCGGGAGTTTGCACATTCTCCCTGTTTCAGCTTGGGTTTCCTCCGGGTGCTCCGGTTTCCTCCCACAGTGCAAAGATGTGCAGGTTAGGGCGGATTGGCCGTGCTAAATTGCCCCATAGTGTCCAGGGATGTGCAGGTTAGGGTGGGTTAGCTGCAGGAAATGTGGGGTAGAGGGTTGGGTGTGGGTTGGATGCTCTTCAGAGATCGGTGTAGACACGATGGGCTGAATAGCCTGCTTCTACACTGGAGGAATTCTAATTCTATGAATTCTAACCTTTGATCTCATTCGCCCCAAGTGCTATATCTAGCCGCCCCTTGAATACATTCAATGTTTTGGCATCTACTACTTCCTGTGGTAATGAATTCCACAGGCTCAACACTCTTTGAGTGAAGAAATGTCTCGTCATCTCCGCCCTAAATGGTCTACCCCGAATCCTCACACTGTGACCCCTGTTAGAATTGTGTAAGTTTCTAGAGACTCCCCCCACAACTCTCATTTGTCTGAACTCCAGTGAAAACAATCCCAACCGAGTCAATCTCTCCTAATGCGTCAGTCCCGCCATCCCCGGAATCAGCCTGGTAAACCTTCGCTGCACACCCTCGAGAAAGGAAATCAAAACTGCACACAATATTCTAGGTGCGGTCTCACCAAGACCCTGTATAACTGCACCAACACATCCCTGCTCCTGTACTCGAAACCTCTCACAATGAAGGCCAACATACCATTTACTTTCTTTACCACCTGCTGCACCTGTATGCTTACCTTCAGCGACTGGTGTACAAGGACTCCCAGGTCCCGCTACACACTCCCCCTCTCCCAATTTACAGCCATTCAGGTAGTAATTTGCTTCCAAAGTGAATAACCTCACATTTATCCAAATTATACTGCATCAGCCATTGATTTGCCCACTCACCCAACCTGACCAGATTA